TGGGGAGCCTGGTCAGTGCCAACCACCTTCTGGGGGAAGAACCTTGTCCTGATACCCAACCTGGCCCTGCCCTGGCACAGCTCCACTTGTCAGACAGAAGGACACCGTGCCCCACACAGGGGTACCCATGTGGACACACACATGGGTTTCAGTACCAAGGGTAAAGCTGGGAAAAACAAGATCAAGAAATTCAAATTCATATTGAGAAATAATAAAGAAATACTGTTCAGTAGCACTGCTGGGGAAAAAAAATATCTACTTGTGAGGGCAAGAAGGACTGAAAATCACAGAAACAAAGAATAGTTTGAGTGTGAAGGGATCTTAAAGATCACCTATTTCCAAGCCCCTGCCATGGGCAGGGAACCATGAGAGGGGTCCCCTTTCTGCCCTGGTTTGAAGGTTCTGACCCTGAGCACACTCAGCTCTGGGGTTTGTCCCTGAGCACCCCCAGCTCTGGGTTTGTCCCTGAGCACCCCCAGCTCCTGCAGTGATGCCACCCCAGCTCACCCAGATGTTCTGCCCTTGCGTAAGAGGCAGGATCACGGAGATTGGGGAATTACAGAAATGAATATTTCAGAATAGGAGGAGAAAAGAAGATAAAGAGCCTGTCACAAGTGTTGTGCTCTCTGTGCTAAGGTGGCTTAGGGCTGATTCTCCTTCCTGCTCTGCCCAGGCTTTAACGAACGGCACCGACTGAAAGTCTCCAGGAGAAACTTCAGTGCACGAGTCACATCAGCACAGTGCACAGGAGCTGTAATCCCCTTTGTGCTCGTCCTGAGCACTCAGAGAAAGGCACCAAGCTTTTCCAGGCTCTTTCTGCTCTAGCCTTTCCAACAAGCTGGGAGCATCCTCTCCTCAGTGTGGAGATCCAGCCCCTGCCTCACGGACAGGCAGCTCTGCAGGAGCAGCTCTGGTCCTGCACACACAGCTCGTGCTCAGAGCCAGCCTGGCTGGGCAGGAGCTCTGATCTCTGGGATCAGGCTGGCTCAGGGAGCCGTGGGAAGGCAGAGGGAAGAGATGAAGGTGGCAGACACAGTCTTGCAGCTCCGGGCATCCCCCTCCTCCCCCGCCTGTGCTGCAGCGGGTCGAGGGAGCACCGAGGGCTGCTCAGAGCACAGCCAGGGTGCTGGGGTGTGAAACGGGCCACTGGGGGAGAGAGAGCCTTAATAAATGCACTCCAGATCTTTCATTTATCTGTTAGGAGGCATTCAAGTGGTCTTTTGCTAACGACTTCAATATATATATTTCTTACAGATAGCAATTAACCTTCTGGTACAGATTAATCTTTTTAAAAAAATCAAAGATGAATTAATCTTTGAAATTCAAGTATTCAGTAGTTTCATTAATAATCTGAAATTGTCCTTTAGGTTTTCCATAATTAGACCATTCCCCTAATTTATTAATCCCACAGACTGCAGAGCATGTTTCAAATCTTCATCTCCTGCCACAATGACATATTCAAACTCACTTGAAGTGCTCATAATAAAAGTCACTTTGTGAAGAATTATTAACTCAGAGGATCAAGCAAAGTCTTTATATGCTAAAGCATATTTGAAAACTAAGCAGGGGTAGCACTTTCTACTCATCCTGAGATTTCCTAAGATCCTGGTTGATCAGAAACAAGTTGGGATAAAATACTGAATTTAGATAATTAGCTTGCTGCAGACTCGAGGCCAGAGATAATAAATGTGCTGGTACCTATGGACTAAATCTTCCTTTCTGCCTAAAGAACCTCATTATGAGCTACAAGACAATTGTCTGGGAGCTGATGATGCCTGTGCTCTGTGGTGTGCCTCAAATTTGGGACCAAATGCCTCCCCCTGGGGCTGCTTCTGGCAGCTCCCCTGGTCCTACAGGGCCATGCAGGGAGAACCAGCACAAGGAGCTCTGCTCCAGCACCTGTCCCAGCTCTGCTCCAACACCTGTCCCAGCTCTGCTCCAACACCTGTCCCAGCTCTGCTCCAACACCTCTCCCAGCTCTGCTCCAACACCTCTCCCAGCTCTGCTCCAACACCTCTCCCAGCTCTGCTCCTCATGGCCCCAAGTGCCATATATCCAAATGCTTTTGAACACTTCCAGGGCTGGTCACTCCACACTGCCCTGAGCAGCTGTGCCAGGGCTGGACAACACTTTCTGTGAAGAGACTTTCACGAACACCCCACCTGACTCTCCCCTGGTGCCCCTCAGGCCGTTCCCTCTCCTCCTGCCCCTTCTTCCCTGGGAGCAGAGCCCGACCCCCCCAGCCCCCCCCTCCTGTCAGGGGGTTGTGAGAGCAACAGCACAACTCCTGATGGACATCACAAGTCTTAGGTCCCTGGAAAATGAGGTAAACCACCCCCAAACCCCTCTCCTGCTCTCCATCCTCCCCTTACCCCTTCAGGGCATGCTGAGTGCACCCTGCAAGCTGGGAATAAGAGGTAAACAATCCCCAGCCCAACCATTTCAAGAACTGGACTCTCTAAGGAAAAAAATTCCTTCTCCTGTTGCATTTCTATTGCTTCTGGCCTGAGTTTTCCAATTAGTGATGGTCCTGACCAGCACCCCAAGCACCCCATTAACCCACTCTTATGGCAGCAGCAGGATCCCTCCCTCCCTCCCACCCTGGCAGTGTCTCAGGAGCACAGCTCATGTCACCCTGCTTTGGAAAGATCCTGCACAGTTACACACCTCACTCAGGCCACGTGCATTTGGACCCCTTGAAATACATTTAATATTTGAAGTGCAAATGATCTCAGTGACACTTCTCCAGTTTATGAAAGCCCCTCTCCCCTCTGCTCCCCTTTGACACCAGTGTTCACTTCACACATTCCCAGCAGCTCTTGACCACTCCAGTGTTTTCAAACAGAGGTCCAGGAGCTGCTAAAGATCTCCCCCAGCCACGAGGCAGGGAAATGAGTGGTGCTCATTGCTCCTTCAGCAGGCTCCTTCCCAACCTGCTACTCCAGCAATCCCCTGGCAGCCTGTTCAGTCCTTTCCAGGCATAGGTGTCCCTATGGAGACACTGCCACCTCAGGCACTGGGAAAACAACCCCAAAAATGTGGCACCCTCCACACCCTCTCCCCCAGGCAGGGACATTGCAACGTGAACCCCCAAGGCAGCACCTGGAGAGGGTCACAACCCATTCCCAAAGTCAGGGAACAAGGTGTCATTTTTCCACAGGGATTCAAGGTCAGGACCTGTATCTCCAGGCAGCACAGCTCCATTAAACCACCAGACAACAGGATCTTCTTACATTCCCAGGGTTTTACAACCCCAGGGAACTTGTTGACAGGTATTAAATCCCCTCAGAACTTCACCTGAGCTTTATCTGTGCGACACAAGGAGTTCAGCACAGCCCTAAGAAGCAGTAGCAGCGCCGGGGATCGGATTATTCCTGTTCCAGAGCCTCTGGAAGATGATGCACTATCCCTGTTAGTGCCTTCATCTCCTAGGCACGACCTACATCCCCCTGCATGCAGAGCTGCTGTCAGCAGGGGGTGGGTTGGGGTTTGTGCTTTGTTTTTTATGAAGGATGTGGAATTGCATGTTGACTACACGAACAGCTCGCATAATAAATTGAATTCTCCAGAAGGTCTATAAAGTGGGACAATATTCTTCACTGGAGTTTGTCCTTGACACAGAGAACATATTTCGGGTATGATTTTGCAACAGTGGATATTTGCAAATAAAGCCAATTTTAAATTATAATGAACTCTGGCATTTGTCACTTCCTGCTGTCTTAAATCCAACCCCATTTTCTTTAATACCACATAAATATGCATTTGTAGGAACAGACACATTTATGCAAATACAGGTCCCTCCTGTGACATCAATAGAAGGAAACAATTCCAGATCCCACTCTCCAAAGCCCCTTTCTTTTAAGCACAGGCACCTTCTCCACGTGCTCTGGGATGATGCTGCCAGGAGGGATCCATCAGCTCCCCCAGACAGTTTGGGAGCGAGCTGGTGCTTCTGCAGGCAGAGCTGCTGCTGATCCAGCCTTGGAACAGCCACGGGGATGGAAACCCCCAGTGGCTGCTCCAGAGCAATTCCTGCCCTGTCCTGCCCTGGCTGGGCACTGACCCCATCCCCTGAGCTGGGACTGGGCTGGTTTTATCTGAGGCAATACCAGGGCAGGCACAGGGTGGGAGGTCTGTGTTCATTCTGGGAATACAACAGAGCTTATTCCTGCACAACAACGTTGTGTTCCCCATCAGGCTCTACCACTGAAGCCTTCTGGAACCTTGCACTTATCACCAAGAATGAATGACAGCATCTGCTGATTTCTCCTTCCCAGCACAGGATCCAACTCGAAACATTTCAATTCCCAAACCCTTCTGATTCTGGATTGCAAATCAGCTTGCCAAGGATTTGTACCTCTATTCCCCAAAGAGCCAGCTAAAGTCCTCCTACACTCTGGTGTCTCTGGGGAAAATTTAGAGCTCTTTACCCTGAAGAATAAGTTACAGGGATGGGGGTATGAGCACACAGCACTCACACCTTCAGCACAGGCCCCCTTCTAGGTTCTGTAGCAGAAAACAAAAGCAAACTGCCAGACTGGAGGGAAAGATTAGAAATTGTCTCAACTGAACTAGCCCAGAGACTGAAAGCAAAGCAACCCCAGCCAGGCAGAGATGTGAGAGCTGAACAAAGTGTGACACAAACGAGTGTCAGGGCACAGGACCCCGAGCTGGGGAGAGGGAAAAGCTCAGTGTTCTCCAATCTCCCTTCTACCCATGGCAAAACCACAGGATGCCCTCCAGGGCAACAGCAGGAGCTTGGTAAGGCTCAGGGTTCTCTATTTCCCCCAGAAATGACTGAAAGCCACTGAGGTTTCAAACTCTGAAGCTCCATAAGCAATTCAGGAATGAGAACATCTAGGAGCCATTGCAGAGCATTGCAAAGAACTGAAGCAACCTTAGAATCAAATGTAAGTTCTAGAAAAATAATATCACATTCGGTACAAAATAACATTCATCACTTCCACAGCATTGTCTGGAGGGGGACGGGCGTTGCCTACCTGCCTCTCTGGAAATTTGCATGAAGGACTCGACTCCTTTTTCTCCATAATTCCCTTCAGATGCCAAAGTGGATACATAATTCCATCCCAAAGCTTTCACAATGTCCACCATTGCTTGTGCTTGGAAGGAATCTGGAGGAACCACACGTGAGAAGAAATCATAGCGCCTGTCATCACTCAACTCTGGTGCAGTTGAGGCATAACTGATTTGTGGGATCTGTAGAAAAAAATAATTTCTGATAAATATACATATTCAAACACTCACGGCACTTCTTGCAGCAGTCAGCTAAAGCTGGTGGCTCCAGCTGAGCTTTGCCTTCACTGTTTCCATCTCTGTTTCTCCACCAAGTTCCCTTACAACGTACAAGCCAAAGAAACAATCTTTCCATTGACTTCAAGTTACACAAATAAAGTGGTTAAACAATTGAAGACAACTGTATATGTGCACGTCCATAATGTCTTCCTTTCAGGCAATCTAAGTCAAACACAGCACACAAACCATTGTAATCAGTGTGTCCTTTTGTTGGTGTTCTGGTTTTACCAGCATTAGGTGATTTGGGACCCTGAATGTAACCAAGGTTAAATCTCCACCTGCCATCGCTGGCTGAAAGTCAGGAAGACCCTTCATCAACTTTTGGAGAATGAAGGGTCCTGACTTAAGCAAAAATATGTTTATTTTTTATACTTTCTGATGGAGAACAGTCGTGGAGGTTGCTGAGCATGGGCACCTCTGCCCCACAGCCACAGCCTGGGCACAGTTCAGCTCTGTGCCAACACAGCAGCCATGGCTTTCCTCCTCCCGGCAGAGTGTGACGGTGACTTTTGCAACAGAGAGACCAGAATATTGTTCAGGACTATTTTCTCCTTGATACCAAAGTCCCTGAGCAGTTATTGAGCTGACAGCATGTTAATCCCCAGACCCATTATGCAATTGTTTGAGTAACAGTCTGGGACTGCTCCTTAAATTAAGGAACCTGCCATAACTCTCACTTGAGATGCCACAGAGGGAACAAACAGCTTTGCAATATACACAAACATGATCGTATATAATGATCTGAGCCTTCTGCCTCAGGAAAGGTCAGCACTTCATGCCTCAGCACAAGCGTCTTCTGCATTCTCATATTTTGTCTCTGCAGAGCACTCTACAAGTATTTATTAGCTTTCCTGCCTTCTCAGAAAAATAAACATTGTATTTCCCCAGGATCAACTCCGCAAAGGGCTCAGCACCTTTGATTCCACAGAGATCAGGAGCACAGGAGAGCAAATTTCCCCAGGATACACATTATATCTGTGCAGTTACGTGAACATTTGCAGCTCCTACAGCAGAGGAAAATCAGCCACTTAAAGCAAAATTGGTGCTGCAGACCCAGTAGAGTGAACAGAGAGAGAACTTTGCATGAAACATTTCACAGTGATTAACTACCCCAACATCTGCTGGTATTCAACCTAAACAAAC